TTCTGTGCTAGTGAAGCGACAATACAAAAGTCCTGCTTGTTCAAAAAAAAAAAAAAAAAAAAATTGTGACCCTGCACAGTCAAGTATTGAAAGTAAAACATGTAAAAAAAAGAAAAACTTAAAAACAAGCCAAAAACTTTAAGTTGAGAAAAAAAAAAAAAGAAACGAACAACCAAATAACAAAAAGGAAACAGCGAGTTCACCCTGACCATGTTTTAGCCAGCGCGTTTGTCTTTTTAAATTTGCATTTATGGCCAAAATTTTTTTAGCAAACAAGTTAAACAAACTTGTTGTCAAGTTAGTGGAAGAGAAAAAAAGCGTGAAAAGGTTTAGAAATATTAATATTTTTTTTAAAGGTCAAAAGCTTTTAAAAATTTTATTTTTTTGCACTCTTAATCTATGAAAAGCATCATTATGAATGATACTTGATCGTATTTCCACTTGTTGACATTTTGCATTTTGACTTATGGCAGCCATTGGCTTAACAAAAAAAAAAAAAAATAAAATATAAAAATGTTTTCTTTTTTAGTTTATAAATCCATTTTTGTAAAATTGACCATCTCATCTTAGTAAAAGGGTCGTTAATACACAAAATTGGCTTAATATTTATTTACAAAAGTTTGTTTTCTATAGACTAGACAAAAATAAATAAATTTTATTAATATTACCTAAGATACATTTTATATAATAAATAAAGAATTTTTTAATTGAATTTAAAATTATTAATTTAGTAATATTTCAAAAAATCCATTAATATATATAAAATAATATATACATTATTATAACATATGTTATAATAATGTATGTTTTTGATTAAAATTTATAGATTTAATTTTATTTTATATAGTAATGGCCTTATTCATAATAACTAACTAACTAAACTAACTACTAACTAACGAGCTGCTACCCAGCAAAAATTTGGTAAGGACTTGCAATTGTTACCACTTACCTAACATACTTTGCAATGACTACTACATATCGCTCTGATTACATAGAAGAGCTTTTATAACATCATATTAATAATGTGTTATATAAAAACCTTCTATTTCATTAGTCAGCTTCTGCTTGAAGACATAGATGCTGTAAACGTTTTTTCACATGATTTACATTGACTGATTTTTCTAATTACTTGTAAGCGATTGTGGTAAGTACTTGACATCACAATGTTAAAATAATTACTTAAAATGCTATTGTGTAAGTAAATTTTTTGATATGAACAATTTTAACCCCTTACATGGTAATGAACGTTTTCGCTGGGTATCTTTCTCTTATGGTAATTCATTCAACAAAACGCTAGCAGAAAAATAGTTAGCAGCTGGTTTTTCATTATGAATAAGGCCGTAAAACACATAATCATGCCAATTAGTAGTCGATAGACAACAGTCAAAAAGCAGATTAATCGAAGGTTCAGTTTATGGACTAATCAATAGACCAGTTTGTACACTAGTCTACAGAGCAGTCTATATAATAGGCTACTGACTAGTGTTTAAACTAGTACATTGACAAGTTCGGAGACCAATTCATAGACTAATCAATAGTCTAGTCCACAGGATTAGATTACCCCAAAGACTAGTAGTACTCTTGTCCATAGTCAAATCAGTTGACTTGTTCGTCGAGTTGTCAATAGACCAGTCTATTGACCAGTCTGTAGACTAGTACATAGCCCAGTACATAGTCTAGTCAATAGTTGACCAGTCAATAGGACAGTCTTTAGTCAATTAACCAGTTTATATACTAGTCAATAGATTAGTCTATAGTCAATTGACCAATCAATAGATCTGTCTATAGATTAGTCAATAGACCAGTTTAGTCTAGTCAATAGACATGTCTACAGGCTAGTCAATAGACCTGTCTATAAACCAGTCAATTAACTAGTTTATATACTAGTCAATAGACAAGTCTTTGGACCAGTCAATGGACCATTCTATGGACCAGTCTATAGACTAGTCAATAGACCTGTCAATATCCCAGTCTTTAGTCAAATAAACAGTTTATATACTAATCAATAGACCAGTCTATAGACTAGACTATAGACCAGTTTTTAGTCAATTAAAAAGTTTATATACTAGTCTATAGACTAGTCAATAGATCATTCCTTAGACTAGTCAATAGACCAGTCTATAGAATAGTCAATAGACGAGTCAATAGATTAGTCAATGGACTATTCAATAGACCAGTCTATAGACTAGACAATAGACCAGCCCTTAGTCAATTAACCAGCTTATATACTAGTCTACAGAATAGTCAATAGATCAGTCCATAGACTAGTAAATAGACCAGTCTATAGACCAGTCAATGGACCAGTCTATAGAATAGTCAATAGATCAGCCTATAGACTAGTCAATACACATGGTTATATACTAGTCAATAGACCAGTCTACAATCAATTGACCAATCAAAAGATTAGTCTTTAGACTAGGCAATAGACCAGCATTTAGTCAATTAAAAATTTTATATACTAGTCAATAGTCCAGTCTATAGAATAGTCAATAGACGAGCCAATATTCCAGTCTGTAGACTAGACAATAGTCAATTAACCAGTTTATATACTAGTCTATAGACTTGTAAATAAATCAGTATATAGACCAGTCCATAGATCAGTCTATACAGTAGTCAATAGACCATTCTATAGAATAGTCAATAGACCAGTCTTTCTTCAATTAACCAGTTTATATACTAGTCAATAGAACAGTCTATAGACAATTGACCAGTCAAAAGACCAGTCTATAGACTATTCAATAGATCAGTCTATGGACTAGTCAATAGACCAGTCTGTACTCAATTGACCAGTCTATTGTCCAGTCTATTGACCAGTCTATAGTCAATTTACCAGTCAATAGACTAGTGAATAGACTAGTCTATGGACTATTTCACAGACCAGTCTATAAACTAGTCAATAGACTAGTCTATAAAGTAGTCTATAGACTAGTCCATCGAATACACAATACACTAGATTTATTAGGCATATTAGGTATATCGACTAGTCAGTAGACATGAAGTCCAAAAAAAGATTCCATAGACAAATCAATAGATTCCATTGTAGAGTTATCAATCATTAGACTTATCCATTGACTATTCATTAGACTTGTCCATCGACCAATCGATAATTCATAGAAAGACTAGGCGAGTCAATAGACTATTCCGAATTATTCGAATTTTTCATCAAAATTTTAATTTTTACCCAAAATTCCAATTTTTACTAAAAATAAAAATATTGCTGGCATGTTTTAATTTAATATAATGGTTTACTAAAAATTATGAAATTTTTTGAGATCTGTGTTTGTTTTAATTATCTAAAAAAAAAAAAATAATTTTCTTAAATATATTTATTTTTGTTTAAACAACACATACACACATGTATACATTAAAATTTTTTTTCAATATTTCGTTTTTTTGTGCTATATTTTCCATCTGTTCGCTCATCTCCGTTCTTTGTATAAATTTACATACAATGATTCAATAATTCGTTTGCTTTTGTCTACGAATGTCAACACCAATTCAACAATGGAATTGTAAATGAAATGGTAAAATGTTTGCATGTCTGTATTGTGTGTGTGTGTGTGTCTGTGTATTTACTATATCCCAGTGTCTTTGTATTATAAAATATACAAATATTCACCCACACTCACAGCAGTGGTTGCAAGTAAAACTGGATAGGGAGTAAAAAAAGGAAAAATTTTATGAAATAAAAATATAAAAAATATATAAAATGTCATTTCTCAGCATGTCATAACTTATAATAAGCGATTACTTGCTGCCAAACTCACGCATAACCAAACATATGCACGTAGAGACATCGAACCATGTTTGCTTTTGCCTTTCGAGGATTTGTTTGTTTGTTTGCTTTTATATCTCTTATTTTTTCTGTATTTTAGTATTGGTGTCAACTTTGTCGGTAAATTTTCCTTTTTTTTTCTTTAGCAAGTAATACACATACACTCTTGTATGGCAAGCCAAAATCGCTATCAGTGTGACAGAGTTTGTGTGTTTGGGGGACCGTGAGAATACATTTAAAATATTTATGAAAAAAAGGGGTAACACACAAAAAGTTTCTTGCCATTTCCTTAATATTTTTATTTATGGTTGAATTTCTGTATAGGAAATCTCAAAGAACATAAGTTTTCCTATCACATATAAATATATAACTATGCAATATTAAGGCGATTTTTCTTGTTTTGTTTCAAAATTTAAATGGGTTTTCTTTCCAAGATTAACACTTACAAATATTGAACAAATCGAATGTTTCTCTAATAAAACATTTTCAAACTTTTAGAGTTTCCAAACTGAAACTAAACGTTTATAGTTTGATTTCTGAAATGAAGTCCACCTTAATGTAACATTTTAGAGGAAGTAAGATTTATATGATTAGGGAAATGAAAAGAATTTGAGAAATTATTGATCAGAGAATTAAACTCTAAGAAATAAAAATTTGTTGTTTTTTGGTTTTTCACTTTTTAAGAAAATCATTGATAAATAATTTTGTGGCTTTGGTAGCTATAATACTAGAGTCGAGGATTTTTAAAAAAGTTCTCTATTAGTTTGTTTAAATTTTTCTTATTTCTATTTTCTTCTACTGCACTAAAAAAGGACAGAAATGACTCCTTAAAATATGTGTAAATATCATATAAATATATGCATATTTTTACATATATAATGTCATAAATATGCGTTTTACTTCTTCTTTATTTTATAACTTAAGGCAGAAACTGAAGCAACAAATAACATGATGTTCTTACCATGATTTTTACCTTCTTGTCTTTAAATATTTTCCCCATATTTTTAAACTTATTATATTTACATACTTTACCACAAACTCAAACATTTCCACACACATATGTGGTAGCATTCAACACCAATAAAATGCCACAGAAAATTGCCTGCATATGTGTGACTTTAAACGATTCCTTTTTGTTTTTTCTTTCTCCTTCTTACTTGCAAATAAATTCATTTTTTTGTCTTATCTTTTTATAATTCTTTTGCTCTTATTTTTCGCCCTTTAGGTATTATATGGAACGTAAGATCTTTCAACATTTGCTGGAATTAAAGTCACTGCAAATACGCTCAAATAAACTGAACGAAGCTGTTTTGGTTAAACGCGCCGTAGATGATTATCATAAATCGTGTGCCGCTCTGGGCGGTGAGACAGGCACACGTTTGCGTCGTTATAATTTTAGTGAATATACTTTTAAAAATTTCGAATTGTTCCTTTATGAAACGCTTAAGGCTTTGCAGAAACCGGGCACTTATAATTTTCAGAATATCAATGAAGTTTATGAGGAGGTAAGTGTGTGTGTGTTGGTATGATTTTTAGTGTAATGAAATGTTTGTTATTATGGTGATTGTAAGTATAAATAATTTTCCATACACTAGAATTGTTATTTAGTTAAATTGTGTGATTTGGATGTTAGGGTGTTACTTAATATTTTAAGTCCTTTATAAATCGGGGGAGTTTTCCCGTCGAGCGCGTCCCCGGGTGGCGTAGGGGGTGGTGATGGACCATCTGTCATTCAGTACCTAGCAGTTCGGGCGGACAGTCCCGAACTCCCTATTTAGCCTACCACATAGGGTTATCCCTAGCCACCGACTGTCCAGGTGACTAGCTATTTTAACATGTACAAGTGTTTTTTAAGTGTCCCCTCTCTCGCTTACATAGGGGACACTAAAGTGACGATTACCTTCAACCTCGTTTACAAAGAGTACATCCGTGACGAAAGACGAATTAGAGTCCACCAGGTGGTTTAACAAAAGTGGAAATCACTGTCTTTTTCCTATGCATTGACCCTTTGTCGAACTGCAGGGTATTCTCCAGTTTTAGTTTTACTCAAGCTGAGGGAGGGCAGATTGTCCACCACCTGGGAATATTATATTCCCCGCGGACCAAAAACTCGAAAAAAACAAACATGGAAAATAAAAAGAGAAAAGTAACGCAGGGAATAAATAACCCAGTACCGGCGATCTACTCGCGAGTCACTTGTCGTCGTCATCCTGCAATCGTGAGCAAAATACTACTACGGAGGCCTCCGTGGCAGACAATACGTCAAGTGTACAGCATGCCATTGGCAAAAACATAAGGGTGAAAGAGAAGGATGTACTCGGAGAGAGCTCTTAGCTGCCTCAGCCTTTAAATATAGGTGAGGTTTCCGACTCTGAATCCTCAGATGCTAATAACAACACCATTATAGCAAATCGCAAGAAGGATAAAGTAGAGCAAATGGTGAAAGACGTAAGTGATAGCATAGCTATACTACCTACTACTAAGAAAAGACTATCTGGAGCACAGATGAGGAAATTGAAAAAGATGCTTCAGGATATCATAGCTAGTCAATCCCACGACACACCTAAGAAGAAATCGGACCTTCTCACAAGATCTGAGGCAAAGAGGATCAGGTCTCCCGAGGAGTTGACAACCGAGAATAAACCTAAGAAGAAAAAGAGCTCACCGTCTTCTAATACGCAGTCGAAGCCAAGCCACACTTCACTCAAAGGAACCTCAAGTCAGAATCCTGCGAGTAAGGTTGACAACGCCAAGCCAGATATTTCGAAGAGGAACACGTCGGCGAAACCAGCCTCGAAGGTAAGGGCCCCGAAAAACGAGGAAGGAGAAGCTAGACGGTGTAAAAGGAAAAGAGCCGCCATCTTACGCCAAAGTTCTCAGAAGAAAACACCGGAACGATCACTGCTATGCAGTTTAGGATGCCGGTAATCCGACAGGCAAAACTCCAATAGACCAGCATAGTAAGGTAGAATTTGTGGTGAACAATAAGATAGTGGACCACGCAATCGCTTTGTTCTCAAAATCTAAACTAGGCTTGAAATTGTCATTAGAAACGATTCTAGAATCCTAGTCATAACATAACATTACACAAAAATGTTCCCATATCCATCCGTCTGTCCATGTTCGTGTAAATCTTGCAATCAAAAACAATCCATCAAAAACTAGTTAATGAGTTGTATGTATAACTTACTTTTCAATGACTAATAAATACCATCTGTATTATTTTAAAGAACTCTAATAAAGACTTACATATATTTATATTCGTAAGTACTTATTTTTTTGATTTTGCCATTTTCCGTTCTCAACTGCAAATTTACACAAACCATTAGTGTTATGAGTATGACAGCAGATTAACTAACACGAGACCTGGGTTCATATCCAAAAGTTCAAAATTCGTTTGTTCGTAAACAAACAACTTTTAAACTCCCAAGTTGTAATGACTTATTTGTCAGCGAGCGTGGTAAGCACTTGATTTCAATGACATCGCTACGTTAAAATAACGAGTTATAATGAATAAGTAGTGAAAAATGCTTTAAATTTTATTTAAATTACTTACTTTTCAATATTTGTAAGTTTTTGCTGGGATACTTTAATCAATGAATTCGTTGTTATGTTTTTATACTTGTGTACTGTATTATATGGTAAGACATATCCATCTTTCGAGTTTCATAATTATCCAAATCCATCATATTTCCAATAAATGTTTATTAAAAACCAATATACTTTCTTAAAATCTGATAAATGTATTTCGTTTTGTTATCCTTATAGGCTGAAAGACGTTTAAGTCCTGATTATAATGCATACGAAAAGGCGTTGCAGTGTACTACACGAACACATCGTTGTCTGCATGCAGCTCATGCATATACCGGAATACCTTGTGCCGCATACAGTAAGTATAAGCATTCATTAATTAATGAATCTTAAAAATGGGTAATGAATATACGTATATTGCGGTATTTCCAACAATCATTTAATCAAGTCAATACAAAATAAAAAAATTTTACAAGAAAAAACTGAGCAAAATCTGTGTTTAATACAAAGATGTTCTTGGTAATCTTAATATTCTGTTATGATATAAAAATAAAAATAGCCAACTAAACCGCATAGACAACACTTTTTCTAAGTCCTACTTCCAAATAACTTCAAACATCATTAACTTTGAAAGTTTCTCAACATCTTATTATTTTCTTCATAAATTTCAAAATCAACTTCATTTCTAGTATACAACGCACAAAAACAAAAGTCAAAGACGATAAATTAACAAATCTGTATACTAAACGCAAAAAGCCATCAGTAATCCATCATAATGTGTATAATAAATAAATAAATAGACCAACTAAAATAAGAATTTTATAGCGTACTAATCTTTAATCATAAAAACAAGGAAATGAATAAAAACACAAGCAACCCACAAATAATTCAAAGACAACAAATTTGTTAAGCAGCAGCAGCAGCAGTAGTAAGCTGCTATTTTATTTGCTACTGTAGCATTCAGCTCAATTCACTACATCATAAATACGCAATAAACCAAAAACAACAAAAAATATATATAAAATAAAATGAAAAATTTAATAGAAAATTGTATTACTACTTACAAGTACAAGCAACCAGACAACTAACAACAGCATATTAAAATAGCAAAAACAAACAAAAAAATATCGCTAAGAAGACTAGAAGATGATGACGATGATGATGCTAGAACAAATAAAATAGCAAAAAAGTATTTTTTTTGCTGGAATTTTAAACCTCATTATTGCAGAACAAAATTGACATCAAAAGACTTCCGACTGCATCTTAGGAAAAAAAGAACATTTTGTTGAGGACTGTTGTTGTGCGTTTTATGTTATTTATGTTACAATTACGGAAAATAGTATTAAAATGGAATTATGTGTTTTATCTTTTGCTCTCATACTTTATAACCGAATTTATTAAAACACATACATAAGTATTTATGTGTATATCATTTTATTTGGACTTTATATATAGAATTACAAGCTAACACTATTAAAGTTTTATTTTGTGTTTAAATATATGTACATATATCATTAGATTTCCTCAGCTATGATTCTTATATTCGGCTATCCATGGACGTTATGAGACACCAAAGGCATCAAAATGTCTATGATTATAGTGATATAAACTCCATAGATTACAAATATACCATTTATCAAGGAACATTTTAATGCCATAAAGCTGGTGTTTAAAATACCTCAGAGTTTAAAGGGTCAAGCATTTTCAGAGGGGGAAATTTGTAGGAGGGGCTAGGGTCAAATAAGGGCCCCTAATTACAACTTATTTTAATTTTCTCATAATTGGGAGCTCCAAATCCCATTTTTCAGGGTCCGGTTATATGGAGGCTAGGTGAAATAATGGACCAATATGAACCAAAATCAAAAATTCAAAATTAATAAGGTTCGTCCGTGGGTCCAAGGTAATACGTGTACCAATTTTCATCGAATTATTTTCAAAATTGCGACCTGTAGTTTGAGACGGGCAGACGAACGGACATGGCTTAATCGACTCAGAAAATGATTCTCAACCGATTGGTATACTTAAAGTATAGGACCATTAACAATACCACTAAAGTGGTGTAGGGTAAAACAATTAAAACTGTTTATTGGAAATTGTTCTCCGACATATTTCTGTACTCGATTTTTTTCTTGAAAAATTTAAATATAATAATTACACAAGACGACACAATTTTTACAAAGTCGAAACCCTGATACCAATTTATACTTATCTAAAGTTTTGAGCCGCGCTGAATCAAGTTTTTGAATCAAGTTTTTACCATCATATGTGGGATTTGAGATATCGTATTCTGAAATTTGAAAAACCCTATTTTTGAGACGTCATAAAAGCTCCAAAACAATATTATTTACAACTTTAAAATATAGGCTTAAAATCTGCTATATATTGGGATATCTTCAGCTAAACTCATGGCTATCGGTATAGTCATGGTAAACCATGAGGCTATTATGCTTTGTAAATATTGTTTATAACAGCAAAAATTCTGAATCCACGCCTACTTGACGATACTCCAATTGACTCAAAATCTATTTCTAATTCGATTTGACGATGTCTGTCTGTCCGTCCGTCAACTTCTCAGTAACATTTCTCCGAATAGCTTGGTCTTAACCAGATTGTCTAAAATGTACATGGTCGATAAGGTCGCGAAAATCATTCAGGAACTTCATACCGTTACGTTTAACACTAAGAACTATGTAGGCGTTTTTAAATTTCTCAAGGCATTCATCTCGAACGTAATAATATAATCAAAATAAATTCTCCATTGCGTTTCCGTTCCAGCACACGAGAGCATTGTCGAAAACGAAATTGCCAACAAATGTGGTATTTATATTACGTTAGCTGTGGTATCAAAAAACGGAACTCAAGTGGTCCCTTAAAACCACTTACGGAAGAAAACATTCCCCCTTGATGGGCATTCGTTAACACTTCTTATATGCAGTTGTTGTTTAGACGAAGAAGGTCATATCACTTACCCAAATTTTTAGTTTTTCGATCAACATTATACAGACTCTAATAAAAACATTATTAATTTTCTTTTTACAAGTTATAAAAAAAATATTATAATTAATTTTTCAAGAATTTAATTAAAAAACCCCAACTGCCAACTGTTCTTACATACATATTTTTCTGTGATTTTATTGCTGAGTTTCATGTTTAAGGTTCATTACTTTTGTTGGTTTAAAATATTAAGTTGTTTCCATAGCTTTTGTCTGTTTCTGTTTTGTTTTCATCTTATCACGATGCACTTCATTTTCTTATTATTATTATTATTACTTTTTTCCATTTTATTTAAAGATAAATTACAGTTCGTAAAAGAAAAAAAAAAAAAAAAAAAAAACATTGTATGAAAAAATAACAGAGAAATAAAAGTAGAATTTAATTTGTGACATTTATTTGAGAATTTTGGTTAATGTTTATTGTTATAATACTTTTCGTTCACATTTAAACCATTTCTTTTTCTATTGCTCTCGCTAGCACACACACAACAATATTTTTTTATTCCTTAGATGACAATAAATGTTGCTATTTTATATGTTTATATGTACATATATCTCTATGTGTATTTGAAAGTTAAAATATATTTCTATGTATGTGTTTATGCATTTTAGTGACGTCGCCACATGCTTGACGTTGATGCAAATGATCCCTTGATGTCAAAACCATCTGATGTTTTTGTTCATGTTCTTTTTTTTGCTCTCTCTTTATTTTGTTGCTTCTACTACTGTTGTTATTGTTCTTATTGTATTTTAGCGTGTATTTACAATGTTGTACGTTTTAACAAAAATTGTTGAAATATTACTGTTTGCATCTATAGTATATCTGTGTATAGATCTGTTACTACCACTATTGCAACTTCAGTATGCCTTTTTGTATGTGCGAGTGTGTGTGTTTGGCATTGTTTTTTAGCTGAAGCATGATGCAATTTTATAATGCGTCGCTTGAGGGGACACATCAAACAACTGTGTAGAACAATTCACCAACATCTAAAGCAATGTTTCTTTGACACAGTATTTTGTGTTTTTTGCTTTTTTTTATATAATTTTTACTTCGTTTTTTTATTTGTTTTCGTTTGTGTTCTTGTGCTTTCATTTTAAACTCATGTTGTGATATTTATAAGCGAAAATACTTAAAAGCATCACTATGGTTATGGTGTGCACGGTGGGCTAAAGATTTTTGAAAGCAATTGTAATGTAAAACTAGATGAAAAGGTTAATACTTATTTTATTAGAACAAAATGTATGTATATTGTGGATATGCATACCCCTCATCTTGTTTTGACATTGAATAGCGGTCAAAAGTATCGAATCCCCTTCGCCACCTTTTTAAGCTTATAAAGGAAAATAATAACAATTCGATGTATCACTTTGATTTGTTATTTCCTTTCAAAAATATGATTTCTTTCTATAAAACGAATCACTGTGCATTTTTTAGCTCTAATCTTGGTTACATTTATTTTCCATTTTTCCCTTAGTTTTTTTATTTTTTCAAGATTAACTACTGTTTGTCTACATCTTCATCTTCTTTTTCAACTGTGTCTTAATTTTGTGTTCCCGTATTAGCGCCTCAATTCCTTCCATTCTTTACAAGTAAAGAAGAAAAGCCACCAAAATGATGTTTTTGATGTAGTTGTTGTTGTTTCTAGCACAAACATATAAAATTGGGATGAAAAAAAAAGTATCGCTTGAAGTTATAAGATTTTTTATATAAATATTGCAAGTTTTTTTTTACTATTAATATAAAAACGAATATGTATAAGTATTGTTCTATATATAAAACATTTCACATAGTTTTTGTTACTATCGCTGTTGTTATTATTGTTTCTGTTGTTGTTACATTACTTTATATAACACATAAAACAAAACCACACTTAGTCGTCATGGCTCTGAATGTAATTTATTTTGTAGTTTTCAGTTATTTTTGCAAGAGCATATACTTTGGGACCCTCCCCAAGTGCAAAAAAAAAGAAGGAAATACTTGCAAACAACTGGCAGCAGTTGAAAAGTAATATCAAAAATACCTTAATACTTCCATTAAACTCACATATACATGCTCATATAAACCACTGCTTGTTTGTCAAAAGGACAATGTTGCTCTTTTCGTTTTATTTGTGTGCTAAAAGTTGTCGTCATGGCTCTGAATGTAATTTATTTTGTAGTTTTCAGTTATTTTTGCAAGAGCATATACTTTGGGACCCTCCCCAAGTGCAAAAAAAAAGAAGGAAATACTTGCAAACAACTGGCAGCAGTTGAAAAGTAATATCAAAAATACCTTAATACTTCCATTAAACTCACATATACATGCTCATATAAACCACTGCTTGTTTGTCAAAAGGACAATGTTGCTCTTTTCGTTTTATTTGTGTGCTAAAAGTTGTTGTTGTTTTTAGCACAATACACACAGTGTAAAAGTAGTCTATCAAACTAGAACACATACGCTGCAAGAACTTAAACAAAGAATTCAAGATCTGAAAAAAAATATGGAACAAGAACCATCACACCACAGCTGGTGTTTTAGGTTTTGGTGGAAAAAAGGCACTATTGAATTGAATTGTTCATATAAATTTTTTTAGAGCAATAGTATGAGAGAAGTTTTTTTTTGTTTTCTTTTTGTAGGTAAATAAAATTTTCTTTTTTTTTTGTTAAAGCGAGGTGCGTTTTAGAATTAATAGAATAGACAAAAGCTATGAAATTATTTCCTTTGATATTCGTTAATCAATATTTATTAATATTTCTAACATAACATTACTAAAACATCTATAAATATTAGACTTCTCAACTGCAAATCCCAAACACCCTCGACTACCCTGACGTATGAGTAATATTTATTTGTTTGTTTAAATAAATTATAAAGTATACTTCGTGTGGCCCACATGTACACATTTTTATCACAAGCAAATGTAATAACAACAATAAAAAAACTATAAACAATAGTAGTTTTACTTTGACTTGATAAATGATTGTGTAATTCTAAAAAAAAACTTTATATTAATAATTCATAATGTTTTTCATTCATTTTAGTACGTTTTTATTAATGACAAACAGTTTTCAGCTTTAATTCATTAATTTCTTTTTATTTCTCCCGCTCTCTCTCTTTTGTTTCCACTCTTCTATTCTTTTTTCCCTTTTGCATAACAGTTCCCATGATGAATCATCACACAATGCCAAAATTTGGTTTTGGACCATATAAAAAAACCGGTGTGGGTAGTTTTTATCTACCCAAAATTCTTACAACTGGCACCGCCTGCAATGGCAAAGTCGCCCTCGAATTGTCACACGGCAAGAGTAAACAATTAATATCACTGCCATCGGAAAAACTCGACAGTAATAAAAGATATTTTGTTACATTTACCGTTAAGGAAACGGACAAACAGCAGCAACAAGGTGCCTCAGCCAACGGTTGTGACAGCAAAACTGGTACATCAGCCGTCAATTGTACATCAGCTTCCGAGGATAAGTAATCAAATAAGAAAATGAATTATAAAATTGTTATTGTATACTTAGAAATTGTTTAAAATTAACTAAGTTAAATTATTCGATTATAGTTTTTCTATAAGTTTTCTTCAAATGATACATCGAAATAGAGTGTATTGAATAAATGTAAAAGAATTTAAAATTTATTATAGTTTTAGTGTTCTTTTCGCAGTCGAACAGTAAGTAAATTCTTTTAATAATATTTATCAAGTTTTTGCAGAATGAAGTTCGTTTTTAATTTTTGTTTTCGAACTTCTAGCAGATATATGCTCGTTAAATGTTGTCTTCGCTAGTAGTTCCACAAGATTTTATAGAAAACTAAATCTGTAAGGAATTCACACCATGACTAGACTATGACCAGACTATGACTAGACTATGACTAGACTATGACTAGACTATGACTAGACTATGACTAGACTATGACTAGACTATGACTAGACTATGACTAGACTATGACTAGACTATGACTAGACTATGACTATGACTAGGACTATGACTAGACTATGACTAGACTATGACTAGACTATGACCTAGACTATGACTAGACTATGACTAGACTATGACTAGACTATGACCTAGACTATGACTAGACTATGACTAGACTATGACTAGACTATGACTAGACTATGACTGGACTATGATAGACTATGACTAGACTATGACTAGACTATGACTAGACTATGACTAGACTAGACTAGACTATGACTAGACTAGACTAGACTATGACGACTAGACTAACTATGACTAGACTATGACTAGACTATGGACTAGCTATGGACTAGACTATGACTAGACTATGACTAGACTATGACTAGACTATGACTAGACTATGACTAGACTATGACTAGACTATGACTAGACTATGACTAGACTATGACTAGACTATGACTATGATAGACTATGACTAGACTATGACTAGACTATGACTAGACTATGACTAGACTATGACTAGACTATGACTAGACTATGACTAGACTATGACTAGACCATTACTAGACTATGACTAGACTATGACTAGACCATTACTAGACTACTACTTTATTACTCCGTAATGAAAAAATGATTGTAATTATCACACTTCATTTTATTACACTCTTTCTTCAATGAGAATCCCTTTGGATTCATTTTTTTTTTTTGTTTTTTTTTTAATGCAGCTAGAAAATGTCATTGCCAACAGATAAGCTCTGTTATTAACGCTCCTTGTATTGCAGAATGGGTCGTTTCATTCATGTCAGGCGCTTTAACGTACTTTTGTGTTTCTTCTTACATTTTTTTCCCTAAAAAAAAAATTAAAAAATGATGTAAGAAGAACGCTTAAAGTCTTTGGTATAGCAAATTCTTATATGAAGCAAAAAAGAAAACATTAAATATGAGAGATATTTATACATACATATTTATGTTTTATGTTGGGGGAGTTGAAAAATGAAATTAGTGGCAATGAAGTTGTTGAAAAATTTTGTAAGTGTGCCCTACGGTAATTATTTTAAATGGTGTTGACTTGATTGATTTTTTGATTGTGATAAGTTTTGATGTTACCTATTGCGTTTAGCCCAATAATATAATTGTTTTTTTTTTTTTTTTGTATTTTAAAAGAGATTGAAGCCCGGCTGTTACTCGTTTGTCTGCCAAGCAGCAGAAGGGTTTTAGTTAAGAAAATAGTTTAGATCAAGTCAAATAGGACACAAAATGAGTTGGTTGACAAAAAGAATCTATATTGTTTTGAGATAAAACTTATTAATTACTTACACTTTTATACCGACTGTAGAGTATGAACAAAAGTTCTTAAGATGAATAAAACAATAATGTTCTTATGATTGTCGTATAGTCATCTAGTTTACAATGAATACTTCGTTATGAATTAATGTTCTTGAGTTATTTTCATCATAATTCACCATGTGCAATGAAAATTTTCGTTCTCTTTCGTTTTTTTCAACGAATTTTTTTTATTTTTTTTATTATTATTACTTTTTTATATGTTGGTGTATTATCTGTTATGCGAATATAAATATATATTTCCTCTTAAATTCAACTTGCCGCCCTAGTAAAATACACAAACAACAACTTGTTTTCTTCGTTTGTGTTCCCTTTGTGATTAATAACTGCACATCTAAAGTAAAGAAAAAAAAAATTATATTAAATAGAATTCAAGGAAAGAAAAAAAATCTGAACACACACACACACTAAAGTACTCATCATTTTTACTTCAAACATCAAAGTGGTGTTAAAGACGAAGTATGTAGTTAAAAGGAAGGAAAATCCTGCAAGTACACGCACTCACACTAATGTGAAGCTAGTTATCAAAAGCGCTCACTGTAATACAATTTACATAAATATTACGTATGGATGTATTATACTTGTAAATATATGCAGAAATTCAGCATACATATTTACAGCAAACAGTTAAGAGTATAAAAGTAGCAAAAAAGTTCTGAAAGTGTTAAAATTTTGAAAAAAATAGCTATTATTTCTAAATCTTAAATTATAACTTATTATTTGTTTCTTACTTTAGTGATAATCTCATACGGTTTATTTCCCTTTTTCATGATTTTGCTGTAAAGTTACGTTGCAATTTATGTTACTCCGCTTATGTGTAAAAAGTAAAGCAAAGATAAAATTTAATAAAGTAAACATTTCATTAATGTATGTGTATGCTCTTACATATTTATATCGAAATGTGTATGTTGTTCCAAAAAAAAAAACATAAATTTGTAGATTATTTGTGTATTCCTGGATTTAAGTGCGTAAGTAATTGTACCTTCTACTGCTTACATATGTATGTGCTTATTATCCTAACATTATTTACAAACATACATTTGTAGTTTTGTATTTGATTTGATTATGACTTATATATGACAAAGTTATACATAGACATACATTTTTTGTTATATATAAACATAATACATTATTTATTTGATTACTTTATATTTCTATAAACAAATATGATTTACTTATCAACGTGAAATATTAATAATACCTTTTTCTTATTAAGGTACTGAGTTAAGATTGAGTTTTATGGGGGGAAAAACTAATTCTTATAATTTTATTGAACAAATTTAATAACATATTTTAACATACATATGGGGAAACGAACTGAACTTTCTTAAGATGATCCATATATTATATAATTACCCAGCAAAAACATTCACTACCATGTAGGGGGTTATAATGCTAAAATTTAAGTCATTATTTTAACACAGTGATGTCATTGGAGGCAAGTACTTACCACAAACGGTTACAAAAAATTAGAAAAATTACACAGAGGGAAAAAGAAATATACACGCCTGGTACCAAATTGACACCAAAGAGATTATAATTTTTCAATAACATCCGTTGTCAAAGTATATACATATGTACGACAACACTATGTAATGTTGCCAACTCAACGTTGTCAATGCAACAATTCGTTGTCGAAATCTAAATTTCATACACATCTGTTGTCTAAATGTTAAAGAACGTGATAAGCTTACTATTGGCAAAGGATTGTTGTCAACATTACATAGTGTTGTCGTACGTATGTATATACTTTGACAACGGATGGTATCGAAATATTATAAACAATTTGGTTCCCTCTGTGTAGTCATTGCAAATTGCATGAAAAATCGTAAACAGCTTCTATAGCTTCACGCGTAAGAGGACTAATGAATAAGAATATTATGCACATTATTAGTAAGAACTTATTAGACTACTTCTATGTAATCAAGACAATATGAAGTAGTTATAGAAAAGTATGTTACAATTGAAAGTAATTATCTTGCTTTTGCTGGGTATGTAATGAAATGTGTGCTATGTAGGTTATTTCCTATAACTTCTGATCGGATAGGCGGATATAAACCAAATTTCGACATAAATTTATAAATTGAACAAGAAAACAATTTTGAAATCCTTTCTTTTCAAAAACATTTTGAACCAATATTTCGAAATTCTCTTTACGATCGTGCCTGTAAAAAGTATTAATTTATAATCCAGTACATGCAAAATTGTATGTTAAAATGTACATGCATGTACTCTCATTTAAAATTGTGTTTATAATAAAATACAAAACATTCAAATATTTCGCGTTGCTATATTTGTAATAAACATTTCATACCACGTTCTACATGTAGAAATACATTCATACGCACATACCCAGCAAAAACTTATTTTGAAAAGTAATGAGTTAAAAGGGTAAACACCGCTTTTCACTACTTCTTCATTAGCATTTTAACTCATTACTTTAACATGATGATGACTTAGGAGGCAAGTATTTACCACGCTCGCTTTCAAATCACTACTTAAATAACTACTTACAAAAAAAAGTTAAAAAGTTGTTTTGCTTTAAAAACAAACAAAAAATTGCTCACACAGAATACGAAACTGGGCTTCTTGTTCGTTATTTCGCTATCTTAAGAGTACTCAAAAGTAATGCAGAAGGTAAGTAGTATCCACTGAAAAGTAAGTGGTTATGTAAGTACAAGCCTTTATCGAGTTTTTGCTGGCTATATGAAATATTTACAATATTAATTTCAATTTGTATTGTACTCTCTGCATTAAAGAAGACCTTGAAGTATAGATAAAATATCAGAATGAAAAGTATTTTAATTATTGACCACAATTTCTACATGAAATTGTTGCGTTTCGTGACTGAAAGCATGAGTATCCACTTAAATTGTTGTTTATCAGTTTCACGGTTTAATTATAATGTTAACAAAAAATATAAATAAAATTTTTATGGACTTACATTCGCATACATATAAATATGCAGCCAACAACAATAATACATACATACTACATACTTATTCAACTGGGGAATTAAAGGTGTTGAAACCAATGACATATTATTACCAATAACTGGTACAACAACAACAACTTCATAGTACTAGTATAACAATAATAAAACACTAGTTTCTCTTCTCTCGATTTTATCCTCAATCAATAAGTGACTCTGCTATCGTAAGTGTCGGTTTATTTCTGCTCTGTGTGTTTGTATTGGCGAGAAAGTGTGTGAGTGTATATGTCAAGGAGTGTATATCATGTGTGCGTGTGTTTTGTATATATACATAAATATGTGTGTTTGTGAAG